TTTCGTGAGATGCGCACTGCCGATGATTCCCAATAAGGATGAAACAGCTGTACAGTGCTTCTCGGCTTTTCAGCATAGATTGGCTTTACTTACAGGACGAAGTCTCCACAAAAATCTCAAATCTCCTCACACCACCAACAAATATAAAACAACTGTACAATGCCTCAATGTTTTCTTCACTTATTGTCTTCGCTTGCGGAACGAAATCTCTGATAAATATACTTTTGACGTCTTAGATGTTGTAATGTCTATCTTTGTAGCAGTCTTCCTGGCTTTTTTGCACAGAACGCTGTGTGACAGATCTCATCGTGAATCTCCAACAGCTTTTGGAGCAGTTTAAAAGAATTTGTAGCAGGATTTGATTGCTGAACGCTCCCTTAACAGCTTTGGGTTTTACAACGACAAATTCAAGGAACCAAGCACCGCTGTCTGGGTGACTTTTGAGTTCGATAGCTACTGAACGAATGCCACTGGTCTATCCTGTCTTCTAGCTAGAAATCAAGACACTATGAAAGTACAGCTGGTTGGAAGACTAGAGAGTACCGGATTCCGTTCGAATAACACGAGTGCTGTACATGTTCCCCAAATGATAGGTCAAACGATATTGTTAATTGACACAAGAACGGAGTTGTTGTTTTCATTGTAATCACATTAAGCTTTCGACAAATATAATCATTTGAAAGCCAGTTTGGCTTTCAGGGGAGGCTTATCTGAATCTCCCTTTTATGCTATTCTTCAGCTGAATTTGCTACGAAAAAGCGCCTCTTGTTTCAGTTGGTACCATAATCGAGATTTCAAGATATAAAGGAAACTACTCACAAGGTTGTTAAGCTTTGGTCATGTGGATGACCTCTGCTGACTCCGTCGAATTAAACCTCAGTAGCTTAAGCGTCGGTGCTAAGCCCCTCTCGGCATACCAAACACATGCGTCCACCTCATCTACATTCAAATCACACTGGTTAGATTGGACCATTGATGGTTCGGTCGATATCACAGTAATGAACCGTTGCTCGTTTGTTTGATTCGATGACTTCAACCAAATTGGCAACAACTATGTCCATTAATGAACAAGGTTGATCTGTAAAATGAGTAATAATCTTAACTCCACTCGTTGTACTACATGCAAAGAGAGCTGGTAAACACAACAGGACACTTGGCACAAAAATGACTCCTCCGTTTTAAGCAGCACACAATACTACAGTGACCTGGTTCAGCCTGAACGTGTGGAGCTAGCAGCTGATCAACAGTCTGTTGTTCAACTCACTTGCACAGGTCCATCGATCGCTCGCAGCCGTCTTCATCTCAGTAGGTAGGTCTCATTCACGAAATTTTAACCCACAGACCAGGCTAATAGACCGCATACCTACAGGAACCTATAAACAACCCCCCATGCTTGTCTTCTAAAAGGCGGCGGCCCATCTAGGAGACACCTGTAGCTGCCTGGGGAATTCAGGAGGCAGTTGACTCTCTGTATGTATGATTGTCCAAATTCGTTTGAGTGAACCCAGGGCAAGGGGAGCATGTGCTTCTAACAAATAGAGTCGTCGCGGCAATTTTAGGGTCAGTTTCCGAAGAAGAAACTACTGAGTCGTTCAAAATGTCACGGCGGATGGGGCAACAAGGAAAGGCCAGGTGAGAGCGGGTAGCATTTTATTAGGTGAGCATGATTGCAAAGAGTGCATTGTTTACCACAGACATCCGTTCTACAAATTGTTTACCAAACTTTTCTGAAACATTTGCGTTTGGTCAATCGTACTGGTGCTTTTGAAAGATGATTTTCAGGAAGTAAAGCGAATGCAAAACATAAACTTCTGACTGTAACACCTTTTTGACACATAGCTGTGATGAAACTCGAAGAGAGTACGAAAGCCAGGAGCTACAGAAGCGGTGAGTGGGTTCAAACAAAGGATCGGTCAATGCTTTTGCCAATTTACAACTGAGCTAGGACAGCAAATTTGGTTAGCAGTGTAGCAAAGTTTGTAATCAATAAAGAAGCCATCGTTTAGAAAGGTCCGATAGTCCGTGCACTTATTTCTGGGCAACATTTTGCTTTTGTCGTGAAAGCAAATGTATAAATGCCCGGACAGAGAAATGTTTGGCGGTATCTCTTTCGACTAAAATACTAAATCAGTATTAAGTTTCTTGTTATTGTAGGTTGTTGTCTTAAGACTGATTTATTGGAGGGTTTGGGGTAGTTATTTATTTGGTTTCATAACCTCATGTATGAATGAGCCTTTGCACAAGACGTAAAATTTATGCCGGCATATCAAACGCCACTGGCTTACACAGACTCGCTCAGCATCAGAAACTGATCCTGATGCAAGATGCAGGAGACAAACAATGTAGCTGTCTAGTAGAACCGTTGCTATTTCTGCGGGTTTCGCATCAACCTTCCTAACTTCCAAGATATGTAAAACGCTCCACAGCCTCCAGTGCCTTTCCCTGGATCGTAATTGGCGCGTTCACGAGCATGGCCTTACACTTTGTGGGTGCAAAGTGCATATCAAAGGACCAGATGACTTTGGTCAGTTCATAAAAAACACCTGGGCCTTCTTCTCCCCTTCGAAGACGAGAACGTTGTCATCTGCGTATTCCAGATCGACAAGGTCTTCGTCACGCGCTATTTAAACACCAGGGTTTTGGAGACCTTCCAGCGTTCATCTCATGTGTTCATCGACCACGAATTCAAATAGGAATGAACGGAGTGGACATCACTCACGGACACCGCTTTGTGTACGGAAGCTTTTGGAGAGCTCGCCGTATATTCTTACACATCCGGAAGTCTGAGAATACAAAGAGCTTATTATGTTCACTAACTTCCGGGGCATTCCTTGGTGGACAAGCGTGTCAAGATGAATAGACTGGTCATGCGAGTCGAACGCACCTTGAAAATCCAGGAATAGTAATATTGTGGGTCGCTTATACGTATGGCGTTGTTCTAGCAACCGACGGAGTGTGAAAATTTGGTCAACACAACTCCTACCAGGCCGGAATCCCGCTTGCTTCTCTCGAGTTAGTGTCTCACGAGCCACCATAAGGCGGCGAAGCACAAGTGACACCAACAGTCTCGACCGGGATCAAGCTGATCTCCCTGTGGTTACCACACTCACTATGTGCACTTTTTTTTGAAAATGCGCACTATCACCGACTCTGCCCAGTTGTTAGGGAAAGGTTCCTTTTCCCAAATGCAAGCAAACAGATCAGACAAGCACTGACTGAGGACTCCACCTCCATCTTTGAACAATGCGGGTGGGAGGTCATCCAGACCAGAGGCTCAGTGGCGCTTGGGAGAACATATGCAGTCGTAAACCTCCGATACTGTAGGCGGTTCCACGTTCACCGTTTAGGTTCTAACGTCAACTGATGAGTGGCAGCTGGTGGCCACGACAATTGTTGTTCGAAGTATTCGGTCCACTAGTCCAGGCGTTCTTCTTTATGCAGGATGGTCACTCCTCTCCTCTCCTTAATGGTTTCACTCACAGGTGGTTTCCGGGGACAGGCCGCACGGATCAACTGAAATAATTTTCGGGCATTACCGGCTTCCGGGGCCTCTTCCATTTCTTTGGCCACTAGCACCAACAAACCTGTACTGTTTAGTGATCTCGACACAGTCTTTACGGACAGGTGATCTGAGACGTCTCCACGTTTTTTATCACCGGTGTCCCAGTATCGGATGGTGTCGACAATTTCTTAACGAGGTAACTGGAAAACGGGTGTTCAGTTGTGTAGCAAGTGAATGGAGTGCGAAAAACGTTCAGCACTATCACCTGCGGTATATCGACCATGTGTTGCACATTCCGAATCATCGTCTGCCAAGACGAGCGTTACTCTCTTCGGCTTCTTCACGCAGCGCGAGGTGCTCAGCAGATGAATTGGCAGAAAAATATGAGAGATTACGACGAAGCTGGGTGCTGTTGACTTGGTTCACCTTGCAAGATGTGATTCACGTGACAACCTAGGCTTGGGTGAAGAGATTGTGGGAAGTCGCGCTCAATCGATTTCACTAGAGTCCTTATCTTTAGTTTCTATCCATATTGTTTGATTGAGCGCACCTCAAAATGTTTCCTAAAGGCCAACACAAGAACACCTCCCTCACCCATCCTTTTTGGTTGTATAGCAGTGAAACAGCAGTGTCAACACTAATGTTGGTCTCTTATGATGACCACATTTCTGGTAGTGGAAAGCCACTACGGACTAAAAAGATCGCTTCAAAAACAATCCAACAATCTGGAAGTAACCAATGAGGGAAGGATCAACAGCCCTATCCAACAGTTTTGCACTCTACCCGTGGAGAATGCCTTATAATGAACAACATGCTTTCAGTTTTATTATTCGCCTCACGAGCCAGTATCTTCCACTTACTATTTCAACCACCCGGGATAAGGCGGAAAAAGCAGTTGATTGGTTGGTACTCGTCACCTATCAAGCAACTGACAGGCTTGTCAACCATCGATGGTCAGACAAATGGCTATCGACTGAACCGTTAACGCCGTGCTGCTTGTTTTTCAATCAGACGGACGACTGACTAGCCTAATAATAGAAAACTAAGCTTTCACTAGTTCAGCCGTGTGGCGGACCGTTATTATTGTAACTAAATTCATGCTACTTACAAGGTTACTAAAGAAAACAATTCATGTCATGATTACGTTTTTTGCTAGGCCCATTGGATGCTAGACTGGAGCAACTTGGCAATATCTCTGCCCTCGTGCTCCTTCCGGGTGACACGGCAGGAATGCAGCGAGTGGGTGTTGCAGCTGAACGATTAGCAATATTTTTATACATGGATGCTCAACCTACGCATCGGCTGATGCAGACTGCCTTCGCTCATTATTGGTTTTCAATTGCATTATCTGTCGAGGATCTCGATTCGCACGTGAACGAAATGGAGACGATTCGGTTTGCAATGTTGGGCACTAGTTTATTTGTTGAGTTGGACAAGCTGGTAACAAACGCTTCACTGAGAGTTCAGACAACAGGGTCAGGTGTGTTGTGGGTGGGCTGATAAATGACTTATTAATCCAGATTGACCTTGACTTACTATCGAAGGGTGCGGTGCGTGTTCCTGTTAGCTTGCTTATCGACTTGTTGCTTGAATGGTGTCTGCGGGACTTGACCTCTATGGTACCCACCCGTGACCGATTTCCGTTTGTCTCCAAAGAGACGCCTGTTTCTTAAGGCGTTGATATGGACATAGGTTTCGACTCTATTCTCATTGAATTGACGGTTCTCCACACGCAGTGATGCATAGAGAGAACTTACTTCAAAATAATCACTGATCGAATTCATTGCAGAGTATAATTTTTTATGATCTCCTCCTCGTATCTTGCGTTCCCACATCCCAAGATATTCACGGTCTCTGGATTGAACTTTAATCTTTGTATCAAGAAATGAGAGATTTTCAGCTGGAGTATATTTTCTTACTCGTGCAGCAAGTTTTTCTCTGGTCTTAGCACTAATTTCATGAAGTTACACTTGTACATGGTGTCATTTTTGATATCTTCGGTTTTGAAAAAAAAAAATCCACAATGTGAAGGTTGCTTTGCGGGTACTATAGTTCCTTCCGCTTGAAGTGGCCTCGTTCGACAGAACTAACAGACCTTATTGTCTTCAGTCATTTTACTCAAAATTCTGATAAACTTTTCAGGTTGTACACGATATAGGTGATTTTGTTCTTCCCGTCTGAGTAGCGCAGTGTGTCTGCACTGTGTAGTAATAGTATGAAGAAATGTGAGTGTTCTTTGCGTCCGTGAAGTTACGTACGTACGTGAAGTTAAGTGATTCTCAACAAGAATGAAACAGCTGTACAGTGCTTCTCGGCAGAGCTTAACCTCACTTACATGACGGACGCCCAATTGGACAGTTTAACTTTCCTTGATGATCACAGGTTGATTGCTGTGGTAGCTTAGCTCCTGATTGGACTGTCTCTCTGATGCTTACATGTTCGTAGTACTGCTGAGTGAGTATGTATTGGGAAGAATACTGACAACTCAAGTTGCATAGACATCCGTTGGTCCAATCACTGAGCTGGACAATTTGGCTGTGAGTTTCATCACTAATCAGGTAGCTGGACAGGGGTACATTGCAGTTCCACAGAGCCTGAAGTCTGATTCGGCACAACTGCGCAATGAATTCGTGTGAACTGCCAAACTCAAAAAAGGACTAACGAAAATCTGAAGATGTTAATAGCGCTTATTTGTGAGAGAAAATTATAGAAAATAAAATGGATAACTTGTTTGGGAGCGCACAATGGTGATCCGCAGCGGTCAGCTGAAATCTACGATTGCCCAAGATTCAGCACTGATTAGAAAAATTTTAACGATCACACCGAGTTGCTTAGAAAGGTTACTATTCCGCTACTTCATCATACTATCAGATGGGATGTGCCTTCTTCACATTTGTCGCAATGAGGATACGTTTTCACGCACAAGCGAGCCGCCTACCACAATTCTAAATGAAAGTTAATCAGGAATAGTCATAATCACATTGAGCCTTGAGATCCTGCAGACTTCGCGGTTGTGGAGTCACATTAATGGAAATCAGCCAACCAGCAGCCAAAACTCTGTTGACTGAAGACCACCAAGAACGCGGCTCTCTAGGTTGCGTGGAATTCACCTCGGAATTAGGACACACCCAGCTCTCTGAAGAAAAAAAACCTAACTGAAGTGAACTACGCTGCGCGATGTAAGTTTGGTGACAGGGACCAGGATAAACTATTCTAACTCTAAATAATTCGTACTTCAGTGTCCGAGAGAAATGTAGTTAAGAAAATATGGTACGAGCGTTTACTTAGACAGACAGAACACTGAACCATAGACAAAGCAGGAAGCTTAACCGCAAAATAAACAAAAAATAACGGCACAAATGACCTCAGAAAAGGAAGTCAAGGGAACAAAATAGACGAGGACACATCACAGACTGAAGGAGAGTACCGAGTGATTGCTTTTTTTCTGTATAACCAGAAAAATAAGTTGACAGTAAGTTTGAGCTATAAACTAATCGGAGAATTGCCGACGATGGTGCGGGGAAAATGCTTGTTAGTCAGTCATTTATGTGCAATGAGATTTTGCATTCCCATGGGCAGGTGTCAGTGGTTGCAACGGGGACAATAAAGAGGAATTCAGAATCTCAGAGGCAGACGGACGATGAGTCGGCAGGGGGTTGAGAAGCTGGAGCAGAAAATCACGCTAAAAAGGACAAAACGAGAGGTGAAGCGCGTTAACTGGAGAAAGCTGGAAGCCCTGTGCAATTCGTACAAGAGCATAATCACAAGTTCGAAAATCACGCTAAAAAGGACAAAACGAGAGGTGAAGCGCGTTAACTGGAGAAAGCTGGAAGCCCTGTGCAATTCGTACAAGAGCATAATCACAAGTTCAAGTGATGTTGCTGAGGGGAAATAGTTTGAAGAGGTAATTTGTCATGGGCTTCCCCATCACCATTGACAGCAAATCAGTAATGACCACGATGCTTCGCAGCAGCACGCTCACAGGGTTTAGCTAATTATATTTAACACATTAAAGTGAACACAACGCAAAAATTGATGTGAAAATGACCCAGAGCAAGTTTATTGCAAGTATTCGCAGGTGCCTATACCATCATGTGATCTGGGAAGAAATTGATAGCATGGATGCCACCGACATCGGCTAGCTAGTCAAGAGTACACCATCCTGAAAATTAGACGGTACCAACAATACCTAAACCATGTTTTCTGCGATTGAAGCACCTTATGTTCAACCAAACACCCGTTTTCTAGTCAGCTGGTTACCAAAAATCAGCAACGATTCTGAAGCACCGGTGGTAAAAAAACTGAAGACGCTTTACATTATCTGTCCGCAGTGGTTACGTCTCGCAGCCATACAACACAGCCATTACTTTAGCCTGATACACTGAACTCTTGAGAGCCAGTGATGCGCCTTTTAGACGCCACACCTGACGCAAATTAGCAAATGTGATTCGGGATTTCGAGGCCCTTGCACTGGCTTCAGACACACTTCCGTCAGAGCTAATACAACAACCGAGGTAGGTAAGATTCTCCACGGCTTCCAGTGACTCTCCAGTGGTTGGTAGATGAGTGAAGTAGGCACTTTCCGTCATCCATCATCATCAAAGACAGCAACATCAGTGTTGGCACTGATGTTTCACTGCCGTCATCCGTGCACCTCGTGTCTATTTCAAGGCGACAAACCAAGCAAAACTCGGAAGAGCTAAGCCTCTCATGACACCAGCGGCCACAGCGGTGTGTGAACTCTCTCTCCGAATACCCGAAGTGTCAAAGGAGATCTTTGGCAATTTCGGAGCGACAGTCCGTTTTGGCATAAGCAAATGTAACAAAAAGAAGGAGCGAAGGAACTTTCATCGCGAGTTTTCACAGAGGTGACCACAAACGGGTATGCAATCAAACAAGGCGGTTCCGTTCGACGACTGAAAAGACTACTCACCCCGTCGTGTCCAGCTTCAGTGGCCCTCGTTTCACCAGAGATACGCATTCGAAGCCGGAACAGAGCGACAGAATGGCTAATTCAACTGCACCACTCGCGTACTTAATTATTGTTTCTGACAGAAAGCATAAATCAATGCAGAGGGAACCTAGCGTACAAATGAGACCAGGATGTTGTCCTGCTTGCTTCAGAGTAGGAACATTAAAAACAGATAAACAGATAGGGATTCGGAAGGGACGCAAAGAAATTGCCATCGAGAGGTCAGTCTTAGTGCGGAGACCTGCGGATGTCCTCACCTCACAGCGGGTGAGGTACGGCAGAAGAAATATGTAACAGTGTACGAAAAGACATGTCAACATTAGCCACTCTACCGTATGCAACACCTAAGATGTTCCGACTGAGGGTACTACTGGAAGACCGATGTGACATGCCAGTATTTGGGTTGTGAGATTTCTACGCGGATCAAAGTACTGTCAGGCAACCGCCACCTAAATGGGAGAGTGATTAGCGCCCTCAACCGAAGCCTTAATGCAAGGCAATGGGTGGGTACTGGTGTAACGGTGATACTACTGATGGGCGAGGCATGTGAGTAGTATGTTTTCTTGTAAATCCGCTTTGCGTCTCTTGAAAAGTGAGATCTATCACGGAATTTGTGGAGTCGCTTTGTAGCATTTGCTTGGATTTGAGCAACAGTCGATGAATATCCAGGAAAGTTCAGGAAGACGTGTTCAAGGAGAAGGTGGAAGGAAGTTTTTGTAAACAAGATGCGTATGAGAGTTTTGCTTTCCTGCCCAATAGTCTGTAACTGTTCAGTTGGGATTTTCTAATAAACAACTCCGCAGCGAAGGCCTTCTTCCTTTCACTGGTATGCTATCACAACAGTTGAGGTTCTTAAGGAAGACGTCATCACACCTGTACCAACCTCCGAACTCGAGGACCAAGAGACAGTGTTCGTCACTCATTCAATCCAGGGACTAACTTGGCAGAAGGAAATCCGTGAGTATCAAGGTATAGATCGATGCGTGAAAGAGATACACAAACCGCCACGGCCCGATAAGGTCCAGTCTCGCTTATTGGCACACTAATTACTACACGTCGGCTCATCAACAAGACACTAATGAACTCTGAGGAACAACGTCCTTATGTAGAGCTTGATTACATCCATATAGATGCTCACTACCGATGAATAAGAAGTGACCATCCCATCACAAAAGACATGCGTGCCTAAAAGACTTATTTATCGCTCACTACATGATGAAAACGACAGAAGTGATAAACACAACTGGAAAGAGGAATAAAGTGGATCTGAAAATAACTCACTTCGTCTGCGTGCTTTTGACTGAAGTGATGAGGGAGGCGCCCAAGCTTTGCTTGCGTTAGAGTATGAATACGTTCCATGTTTGTCCCAAACGGAATCAAGAGTTCCGTGAAAATCAAGCCCAAAGAGAATATATCCACCTTGTAATCATACGGATCTCCACGTTCCTGTCGACATAAAAATGAGGCAAAAGAGAATAGGCGGGTTTTTATGGTGAGGTTCAAGGAGAACCCGGTTACAAAATACTTGAAACATATACACCAAACACGTGCACCTTAGTCTAAAAATCATAGCACATTTATCCAATTCATTCACCGTAATCGTTCGAAGAGACATCTCGGGTGGAGTCTTAAAAGACGGAAACTCGTATGCTCTTGTCCGTTTCAGGAGTCAGAAGCCCATTATAATGTGCCACATCGGCCGTCGCGTGGTGCCATCAGCCGGGTCGCCTTACTTGCTGCATACAGCAGGGCGGGTAAGCGAAAACATGCTACTGCTGACGCCTCCCTTCTTACACTTTCACGTTTTCCGTCTTCCACCCTCCCCCGCCCAAAT